CTCACCCGGAGAGGTCAGTCACATTAACGCATACAGTATGGACGGTTAGCAAACATGTTTAGCTCAGCATCAGCTATGTAATGTTAACTTAGTTTGCTACTAGCTTTGTAACTGAATATTTAAAAAGATGAGTGAATGTTTGCTTGTCACACTTGTTTGCGTTGAGTGGCGTTGACATCCAACTCTTGACATGACATAAAAAAGGTCGGTAACGTTAATCATTACGTTCCGCTGCCACCATCTACTGGATAACGTTAAACGTAGAAAAATACATAGTTACATACATAAATACATCTGTCGGTTTATAGGCAGGTTACAGGTTTATTGTTGACCACGTAACGTTAATGTTACAAGTTTATCAGGTTACCATTACACTGGGTTTGAGTGAGAGGATAGAGGAATATGTTTATTTATAGTAGACTTGAGGAGGCAAATCCTACTTTGATTGAGCTAAGTATCGTTGGCGTTTTTAATTTTTAATTTTGTTGTTTAGCCCCTCATGCTATAATCATGTGTATTTTCTCCATTCCTGTTCATGTGTCTTCTCGCAATTATCACTGGCCCCGTGTATCTCGTAATCGATATAACCGGCCTGCTCTCGTCTATCCCACGTGCTCCACTGAGATCCAACATCTAGTTTCAGGTGGCCTGTGGAACTGCCAGTCAGCTGTTCCTAAGGCTGACTTCATCTCTGGCTACACCTCCCTGCAGTCTCTGGATTTCCTTGCTCTCACTGAGACCTGGATTACTCCATCCAACACATCCACCCCAGCAGCTCTCTCCACTGCATATTCCTTCTCCCATACACCCAGACCCACTGGCAGAGGAGGTGGCACTGGTCTCCTGCTCTCTCCCAAATGGAGCTTTTCCCTCTTCAAGCTACCTAACTTTACTCCTTCCACCTTTGAGTTCCATGCCGTCACAGTAACCCATCCTATACAGTTAACCATTGTTGTTCTCTACCGTCCACCAGGCGCCTTGGGGGACTTCTTGGAGGAATTAGATCATCTCCTCTCACACATCCCTGAAACTGGCCCTCCCGCTGTACTTCTCGGAGACTTCAACCTCCAGATGGGGAAGATAGACGAACTAACATCTCTGTTAACCGCCTTTGCTTTCTCACTCTCTCCGTCCCCACCGACTCATAAAGCTGGCAATGTCCTTGATCTCATATTCTCAAGGAACTGCGCTACTTCTAACCTCTCTGTAAACCCGCTCCACACATCCGATCACTTCTTCATTTCATTCTCTCTATCCCTTTCCAAACATAACAAACTAATCTCTTCCCATCCTACACTTGTCCGCCGTAACCTTCGCTCCCTCTCTCCCTCTACCTTTGCCTCGTCGGTGCTCTCAGCCCTCCCTTCCTCTGATTCGTTCCAACTACTGCCTCCAAACTCTGCTGCAGAAACTCTCCTCTCTACTCTCTCATCCACTCTGGACTCGCTCTGTCCTCTGACATCTCGGCAGGCTCGTCAGTCCCCTCCGGCTCCCTGGCTAAATGATGCACTGCGTGCTAATAGAACCGTCCTTAGGGCAGCAGAGCGGAAATGGTGGAAATCCAAACACCGTGACGACCTCCTAACCTATCAAGCTCTCCTCTCCTCTTTCTCTGCTTCGATCTCTCAGGCAAAAAGCACTTTCTTTCAAGATAAGATCCAATCTTCCTATTCCAATCCTAAAAAACTATTTTCCATCTTCTCCACCCTCTTGGACCCTCCAAAAGCTCCTCCCCCCTCCTCACTTCTGTCAAGCGACTTTGTTACCCACTTTGAAAAAAAGGTTAATGATATTCGCTCTTCTTTTTCTGACTCACCTTTACTCACCGCTGGGTCACCAGACCTTCCTTCCACCAACACACTAACCTCCTTTTCCCCTCTCTCTCCAAGTGAGGTTCTTACCCTCATTACCTCTGCCCGCCCTACCACCTGTCCTCTGGACCCTATCCCTTCAAACCTCCTTCAGACTATCGCTCCTGATATTCTACCGTTTCTCACCCATTTCATCAACACTTCTCTAACTTCTGGTCACTTTCCAAACAGTCTCAAGGAGGCAAGAGTAAACCCTCTCCTAAAGAAACCCACTCTCAACCCGTCTGATGTTATAAACTACAGGCCTGTCTCTCTCCTCCCGTTCCTGTCTAAATCACTTGAACGCGCTGTCTTTAAACAACTCTCCTGTTATCTCAATCAGAACAACCTTCTGGATCCGCACCAGTCTGGTTTCAAGGCAGGTCACTCCACAGAAACTGCTCTCATTGCTGTCACGGAGGAACTGCACACTGCCAAAACTGCATCCCTCTCCTCTGTCATCATCCTGTTGGACCTGTCTGCTGCATTCGACACGGTGAATCATCAGATCCTCCTTCGCACTCTACAAAAACTTGGAGTTTCAGGCTCTGCACTTTCCCTCCTCACCTCATACCTGAAAGACCGTACCTACAGGGTGACTTGGAGAGGGTCTGAGTCCGACCCTTGTCAATTAACTACGGGGGTCCCTCAGGGCTCTGTTCTTGGTCCCCTCCTCTTCTCCTTGTATACAAACTCGCTCGGATCAGTCATTAGCCCGCATGGTTTTTCTTACCACTGCTACGCTGACGACACCCAATTAATTCTGTCCTTTCCCCGCTCAGAGACCCAGGTCGTCGCACGCATCTCTGCTTGTCTAGCTGACATCTCTCAGTGGATGTCTGCTCACCACCTCAAGCTCAACCTTGACAAGACTGAGCTGCTCTTCCTCCCGGGAAAAGATTGTCCAACTCTTGACCTGACAATCAACATCGGCACCTCAGTTGTTTCCCCGACTCAGACTGCAAGGAATCTGGGTGTGACCCTAGATAACAACCTGTCCTTCACTGCAAACATCGCTGCTACAACCCGCTGCTGCAGATACACGCTTTACAACATCAGGAAGATACGTCCCCAGCTGACACAGAAAGCCACGCAGGTTCTGGTCCAGGCTCTCGTCATCTCACGCCTAGACTACTGCAACTCCCTCCTGGCTGGTCTACCTGCATGTGCCATCCGACCTCTGCAGCTCATCCAGAATGCAGCGGCTCGTCTGGTTTTCAACCTTCCTAAATTCTCCCACACCACTCCGCTCCTCCGCTCCCTTCACTGGCTTCCGGTAACTGCTAGAATCCACTTCAAGACACTGGTACTTGCTTACCGTGCTGCGAATGGATCTGGCCCTTCCTACATCCAGGACATGGTTAAACCGTACACCCCAGCGCGTGCACTACGCTCTGCATCAGCCAAACGACTCGTTGCGCCCTCGCTGCGAGGGGGACCCAAGTTCCCATCGGCGAAAACACGTGGGTTTGCTATCCTGGCTCCAAGATGGTGGAATGAGCTCCCCATTGACATCAGGACGGCAGATAGCTTGCACATCTTCCGGCGCAAACTGAAAACTCATCTCTTTCGACTCCACTTCGAGCGTTAGAACGATTAACGAAGCACTTTTATACTAATAAAGGACTGGATTACCTAAAGCCAGTTGAGTAGCACTTGAAATGTTTAGCTCTATGAAACCTGATGTACTTATATGATTCTGTTTTCTTCAAGGTTGTGTCTTCCTGGTCGAATGTACTTATTGTAAGTCGCTTTGGACAAAAGCGTCAGCTAAATGCAATGTAATGTAATGTAATGTAATGTAACTTAAAAGATGTAATTAGAGACCCAGTGTAATTAAACAATACGGTTGCAGAGGTCAAATTTTAACATTTTTGCCCACTGGCCAAATGGCTAGCCTAGTGAATGTTGAAATGTTACCAGCCACTCAATAGATTGCCATTGTTATTTTTGGCTGGTGCGTGCAACATACAGTACCAGCCACTTGCATGATTTACCAGCATTTGGCTGGTAAATGGTGTTAATGGTAGATATCTCTTTTGGAACAGGTCATGTTTTAATATCACCAGTTCAGTATATTTCAGACAATAGTTTTTTAGTTGCAAATGGCACAGAACAAATGTTTACTTTTAAGTACTTTTAACACAGTTTCCCTGCGGGGGATTTGTGATACTGATTTCTGATTCTGAAGTGTTTTGCTTATAAGTTGTTTGCATTTAGCTAAACTGTGATGTTTTTCCTCATATTGCATTGCAATAGCCTGTTTAAAGTGATCATATAACAAACAACTAATCAGTACTGATACTGTATGCTAATAGATATAGGAGTGATAATAATACAGTAAATGCTTTGAATGTCTTAGATATAGCTGTGCAGTATTCTTAACAGACTGGATAGCAGCAGACAATAGAAGGCTTATTACAACCAGAAGAGACATGAGACTTTTATTTTTTAGAGACTTGAGACTTGACTTGGACTCGTGACCAAAGACTTGAGACTTGATCAAGTCTCACCCCACAAAGACTTGAGACTTGACTTAGACTCGTGACCAAAGACTTGAGACTTGACTTGGACTTGCAAAAAAAGACTTGTGAACATCTCTGCTGTGGGCTTTAAAAATACATATTTATCCCTTGTACCTCCCTTTAAAAAGCTGCTCTAAATTCCTAAGAAGATAAAAAGGTTAGTAAGCTAATCAATCTTAATATAACTTTTTAGAGTGTTTGCATCTTTTAACCAAGTAGCTTGAAACCAACAACCAAATATGTATTAATGTTCATCAAAGGGGCTCTCTTATGCTCATATTAGTCATTTGCGCCTCTTCTGTGACATGTTTACATACTTTAATGTTCAAAAAGCTCTTTATTTTTCTCATACTATCTGTGCTGCAGCACCTCTTTTCACCCTCTATCTGAAACCAGAGCCCAGTCTGCTCTGATTGGTTAGCTGGTCAGCACTGTTGTGATGTTATTCAGAGACTGTTGTTTCTGTGTGTGTGTATGTATGTGGTGTGTGTGTGTGTGTGTGTGTGTGTGTGTGTGTGTGTGTGTGTGTGTGTGTGTGTGTGTGTGTGTGTGTGTGTGTGTGTGTGTGTGTGTGTGTGTGTGTGTGTGTGTGTGTGTGTGTGTGTGTGTGTGTGAAAACACTGACCTGCAGATGGAGTGTATCTCGTGTGTGTCTTCATCCTTGCTGGCGTTGTCCGTCAGACTGTCGCCCAGAGCCATCAGACACTGAGCGAAACCCTTGTAGATGGAGTGACACCTTCTCGCTGAAGATGCAGCAACAGGGCATGAGCTCGGCACTGGAGAACACACACACACACACACACACACACACACACCAGAGTAAGTGAACAGATAAATAGAGCGTTTGTGCGGTGAGTGACACTCAATGATGGACTGTGAGGTTGAGTATTATCCATCACTAACAGACAGCTGTGGGTCCATCTTCATGTATTTCCCCTCTCACTCAATCATTCTTTCAGGTCCGTTGCTGATCGATTAATCACATACAAAATGGGACTTATCACGGCTAGTTGAACAGGAAATGGATATACAACAGAGGAGAAATGTATTTATTTATCCTGAGAGATCACATTCATATCAGAGCAACAACCCAAACAATCATGTTTGAGCACCCCAATCACTTTCAATTTACTTGACAACCCGCACAAAAGGAGTATTTCCACCAATACACACTTATATTTTAGTCTAAAAAGTCAGAGGGGGCATACTCAGTAAAGAATAACAAGAAAACACTGGAAGACAACTAAAGACTATTTTACACATATTTCCTGGTAAATTACTGGGAACGCTAGTGATTTTTTTAATATTCACACATGTCTCTTTAGAAACATTTCTATCTGGGACCTCTTCACCCATGCGAAGGCAGTGCCGGAAGAGATAGGCAAGGGACATTCCAGCAGATAACATAAATGTAATGCTTATGGATACCAACCGCAATAAAACTCAACAGAATTAGATAAGGCAAATGTGGATGTTCCTGTACGAAGAAAACTATGTCTCTTATTATTTTTAGGAACATGGAGGACCTTTTTGTCCAGTGGCAATCTTATATTTATTTAATATAGGTGCTTGGTGTGAATACTTAACCTTAAAAAACATTGTGAGCTGGAAAAACGAAATGTAGAGATGAAAGAAGGAAAAACACTGTGGGTTAATCACTACGGGTGACCCATATCCATACTCCAGATTCCGATGTTAATATACATATTCACTACTGCAGCTTTAACATTGAAATGTAAAGGTAGTGCCTTTAATCAAGTTTAATGCACTACAAAAGCAGTAAGTCAAATCTTAAAAAAAGGTCCAACCTGGAGCAAAAACAAAGAATTGGTCAGGTGTCAAGCCTGTGAGCTAGAGTCTTGTCAGCATGGATTGTCAAGACACTGACAGAGAGCATCAGGGCAAGGTGCTTACTGTCTCAGTACATAGAGTGATAAATCAGGGTTGGACTTACAGGACAATCTGTGTTCTGGAAAAATAAAAAAAGATATCAGATTTCCATATTGGAAATGTCTTTTAATGACCTGTGTCAGGAAGTATCGGAGGTTACATACGCTTCTAGTTGTTTTTTTCTTTATGATAACTTCTGATTTGAAGTCATTTGTCCAAAACATGTGAACAGACTGATCATTTGTAAATGTGACAACTCCCATTGGTTTTATTATTGTTTGGAAGTCTATAGAATATTTTTGGTCGCCATCTTGGTTTTTTAACCAGAAGTGACACAATGGGTAGAGCAAAGATTAACTAACCACTGAATACAAAATTGTACATATTAATGAACTGGAAACACATTGTGAAATCAATCAATCAATCAATGTTTATTTATATAGCCCAATATCACAAATGTTACATTTGTCTCAGTGGACTTCACAGTTTGTACAGAATATCAGTATGATACGACACCCTCTGTCCTTAGACCCTCACATCGTACAAGGAAACACTTCCGAAGAAAACCCACAGTTTAAAGGGAAAAATGGGAGAAACCTCAGGGAGAGCAACAGAGGAGGGATCCCTCTCCCAGGACGGACAGACGTGCAATAGATGCCGTGTGTAAATTCAAAAGATAATACATTTGCAACATAGGTAGTCCAAATGTTTGGAAATGCATGTGTGTATAATGAACATGATGCTGTATTGGAGAAAAATAGCAAACAATGTTAACATGCTGTAAGGTCTCAATTCATATTTTCTGAGGTTATAAATCAATCAAAAAGTATGGTAATGTTTTCATAGACTTCTATACAATCTCAAACCTCAAGGCATTTCAGCATTGGCTTAAAATGTAAGACTCGGAGGTTGCCGCTTAATATCCAATTAGAGTCTGCCTATACAGTAATATAACAGAGGATAAATGCTGTATGTCATGTACGGTGAAACCAAAAGATAGGTACAAAGGGCCCATAGAGGAAACCACTTTGTGTCCATGTCCAATATGGAGAAACCGAAACCCCCATCAAAGCTTCTCCCAGGATTTTAAAGTCAGGCTCTAAAGTGCTCACTACATGAATGCACAACAAACACCCCTGAGAACCCAGTCTCACAGGTCATTTACTTATTACTTAACTATTTACAGCATCTCACCGGTGCACAAAGCTATGTGTTGAGTCAGATTTGAGGAGGACGTTTTTTCCAGAGAGATTGTTTATATATTTGGAAATAATTACTAGCAATTATGTTAGTAGATTGGAGTTGTACCACCATAGTGCATTGAAGTGACAGGGATCTGAGCTTATATAGATACACTGCAGGGACTATAGATCTCTTCTGGGACGTGAGCACCAATGTTTGATAATGCAGTGGATCAATGTGAATCAGAGGCCTGAAAATACTTTAAGAAGTGGCAAGGTGTCATGAAAACAGAAGATTTAATATTCCATTCGTCTTTGAAATGTACAATCCCCCTTTCTTTATTCAATTTAAAACTTCTTCACCCTTTTCAATGTGTGCCTGCATCTACATATTTCTCTAGGATTAAATTAGGTTTGGTGTTGTGCATATTGATAGCCAATCTCTATAAACAGACATCTGCATAGAAATTCAGAATCTTTGGGGTGGATTAGAAAATGCAATGTCAGAACACACCGGCTATCATCTAACAACAACTGGCTATGTATTATCCTTAAATCAGCTTGTAAACTGGCTAAACACGTCATTTCAAAATGTCAACTATATTCTCACATGTCAAGATGTGAACTAAACTTTAACAATGACCAGTACACAGAAGTGAGCGTTTTGGCAACATATAACAATTCAGCAATTATCTCTCTATACAGTAGTTGTTGCTGGTATTGATGGAGTCCGCCATTCTAGCACTACATTTAGATTGCCCACTTGGGCACAAAACACAGCGACTTTTTTTGTTAAGCAGTACCACAACGTTTTAGTGAGGTAAGTACTGACCCGGATTGTTTAGGAAAAAAGGGTTCTGTAAGTCATTTGTTATTTTAGTATTTTCTTCAGTGGACCCTTTAGCAAGCTGAGAGATAAGCACAATTAAAAGGATTAATATTGCTCTGTTTGGAAAATACATTGAATTGCAAGTTTGGATATTATAAATAAGCTAATTACAAATATGTGTAGGATTAACATTTTGCAACTTGAAGATTCATAAATTAACAATGTTTTTCTCATTATGTTGGGTATAAATCACAATCTGTGCCGCATCCCCTTTCCTTCAAAAGATATTTGAGCTTTTGCAAGTTAGCGAAGGGTTGAAAAGGAAAATGCCAAGAATATGGCAATATTTCTTAAATCCATATCAGCTTCCATGTTGACTGAAAATGATGACTGCAGGACAGATACATGACTTGATACTGAATGATTTGAACTAAATATCAACCCTTTCAAACGAGACGGAGATTCAGTCTGATTATCATCACCCCTCTCCATCATGATTGATGATTGTGATGGAGGTGTGTCAGCAGTGATTATGTTTCACTATCTGATAATGTGTCCACATCTAGCTAGAAAAACAATGAAGACCTTTGTGAAACAAAGTTGTGTTTAAGGATGATATATGGTCTCTCTCTACCATGTTTTTTCCTCCACCTCCAACCTTAGAAAGAGTGATGGGAAAGGTGTAGACAAAGGAGGGTGCTGTTTTGCAAGCTTCTTTCTTTTGCCATCTGTTGCTTTGTCTTTCTTCTTTTTTAAATGAATCCTGCTACTCATTCATCAGAAGCTCCTGTCTCAAGACATGCAATGTTCTAAAATGACTTTCAGCCTTTACTGTGTTTCATTGGTCATCACTGCATATAAGATACAGAACACACTCTCAACGACAATTGATCTGAAGAAAACTGTGATCATAGATTTAGAGTCGATATGTACACAAATACACATTACATTGCATTTAGCTGACGCTTTTATCCAAAGCGACTTACAATAAGTACATTCGACCAGGAAGACACAACCTTGAAGAAAACAGAATCATATAAGTACATCAGGTTTCATAGAGCCAAAACATTTCAAGTGCTACTCAACTGGCTTTAGATAAGCCAGTCCTTTATTAGTATATAAGTGCTTTGTTAATAGTTCTATCGCTCGAAGTGGAGTCGAAAGAGATGAGTTTTCAGTCTGCGCCGGAAGATGTGCAAGCTATCTGCTGTCCTGATGTCAATGGGGAGCTCATTCCACCATCTTGGAGCCAGGATAGAAAACCCACGTGTTTTTGCCGATGGGAACTTGGGTCCCCCTCGCAGCGAGGGCGCAGCGAGTCGTTTGGCTGATGCAGAGCGTAGTGCACGCGCTGGGGTGTACGGTTTAACCATGTCCTGGATGTACGAAGGGCCAGATCCATTCGCAGCATGGTAAGCAAGTACCAGTGTCTTGAAGTGGATTCTAGCAGTTACCGGAAGCCAGTGAAGGGAGCGGAGGAGCGGAGTGGTGTGGGAAAATTTAGGAAGGTTGAAGACCAGACGAGCCGCTGCATTCTGGATGAGCTGCTGAGGTCGGATGGCACATGCAGGTAGACCAGCCAGGAGGGAGTTGCAGTAGTCTAGGCGTGAGATGACGAGAGCCTGGACCAGAACCTGCGTCGCTTTCTGTGTCAGCTGGGGACGTATCTTCCTGATGTTGTAAAGCGTGTATCTGCAGCAACGGGTTGTGGCAGCTATGTTTGCAGTGAAGGACAGGTTGTTATCTAGGGTCACACCCAGATTCCTTGCAGTCTGAGTCGGGGGAAACAACTGAGGTGCCGATGTTGATTGTTAGGTCAAGAGTGGGACAATCTTTTCCCGGAAGGAAGAGCAGCTCAGTCTTGTCAAGGTTGAGC